GGCGAATGCAGCCTAGGGGTTGAAAACTCCTAAGGGCATCCACACATAGTGACAGGGGAAAACACATGTCATCAGGCTCAATGAGGGTAGGGAACTGGGAGCGAATAGAACCAATGACCCTAACAGCTAGACCATCAGGGYGGGTAATGCTTGGCTAAGGGGTGACCGCTATGGAGGGTCGACCATGCAAGGGAACAAGGGAGCCTGGTGTACTGGGCGCACCTMGATGAAGCATGCGGGGCTGCCTAACTAGGGCGTGAGGGCCGGCGAAGGGTAGAAAGATGATGGGTAAGGGAATCATGCAAATGACTCCTAAAGTGAGGGAAGTCGGAGCTAGATCCGTAAGATGGGAAGCCAGGGCAACGCTACGGTCCCGATGCCTATGCGTATACCAAGAGAGACCATCATGCGACACAAGCAGGGTACTGTACAGGGTAGAGTGGTAAGAGAGTGGCGACGTCTGAAGTAGGCAGAGTTGATCGTGATGAAGTCCATGAAGCCGCCGATGACGTCCACGATGAGAAGTCCGGAATGCCGTCGAGGAAGAGCCGCAACGTCGACGAGCTGAAGTAGCAAAACTGATGTGGATGGAGTACTGAGAAGTCAAAGACGTGGGAAGGTAAGTCAGAGTCAATCGTCGTATCGAGCAGGACGACGACGAGTGCGCTGTGGACGCTCAGAAGCATCCGGCTGCTGCTGAAGGGATGCCTCAGATGGAGCAGGCTCGACTTCAGTGGTCTCCTCAGCCGGAGGAGAAGGAGGAGGGTCAGTGGGTTGAGGAGGAGCAATGAACCTAGCACGACGAGCACGGTCATAGGCACGCACCAACATGCGAGCGTGCTGCAAGTGCTCGAGGGGCTCCCAGGTAGCCTCCTCATCAGGGTAACCCTTCCAACGTACGAGATACTCGACGTGGGGAGGGTTGTCGTCGGTGACTCAGCGACCAATGATGTCGGAAACAAGGAACTCCTCGTGACCGTCCACCATGATGGGTGGAGGGCGCTCATATGGTCGTCCAGCAAAACGCTCAGACCGTCTGCGGTAAGGACGCACTAACGAGACGTGGTAGACATCGTGCACACGAGCCTGGCGTAGGTAGTCGGGCAACTTCACACGAAAGCTGACCGGGCTAGATGCCGTATCAGAACCGATGGCCTGGAGGATGCGGCATGGGCCAAAGAAGCGACGCCGAAACTTGCGAAGCGTGTCCGCTTCGAGTTGTAAGTGGCGGGCGTCGATAAGCACATCATCACCGACCTTAAATGGGTGATCCATCCTCGATCGGTTCCCACGTGCTGCCATGCGAGTCTGGGAAGCGGCTATGTGCTCATGTGCGGTCTTCATAATCGACGTCATGTATGCAACCCAATCATCCAGCGCGGGACAACTCGTGTCGGGGTGCATCTGGGACGGTCGAAGGAAGTCCGCGGGAACACGCGGGTGATAGCCGAGGTCGCAATAGTAAGGCGACATCCCCGTGGCTGGCGAGACGACGTGGTTGTAGGCTATCTCCGCGTGGGCAAGATGGAGATCCCACTGCTGGTCATCACGAACAATCTTTCGGAGAATATCCCTGAGAGTCCTGTTCGTGATCTCGGTCTGACCATCAGTCTGAGGATGGTAAGACGAGGAGAAGCGGAGCTGAGTGCCGTACACCTCGTGAAGCCGTCGCCAGAATCGGCTGGTAAAGCGCGGGTCACGGTCAGATATGATGCTCAGAGGTAAGCCGTGGTCTCGCACGACTCGGTCAAATACGATGTCGGCGACCTCACGTGCACTGATGGCATAGCGGCACGGAACAAAGCGTGCACGCTTCGTGAAGCGGTCGACGACGAGCAGGATAGCATCATGACCGCGGGGGGTCGGAGGTCGAAGAGGACCGATAAAGTCCATCGAGATGGACTGCCAACGACCCTCAGGGATAGGAAGAGGCTGGAGCAAACCATAAGGTAGGTGGTTCGCACTGTTCACCTCCTGACAGGTGGGACACTCTGCGACGTAGTCCTTCACAAAGTCCTTGCACTTCGGCCAGACGTACAGGCGGCTCACACGAGCCAACGTCTTGTGGAAGCCCATATGATCGGCAGCTACCTGGTCATGGAACTCTGCTACTGCTCGGACACGTGGCTGTCCAGTGGAGGGAACGCAAATACGGGGCTCTCTGGTGCCCTGTGAACCGTGCCAGTACACAAGACCGTTGTCCCTGAGAGAGTAGTTCAGGACGGTCTTGCCACTCCGAAGGGCCGCGTGGATGTCGCGATAGTCGGGGCAGTGGCGGTACTGAGTGCGAAACTCGTCGATCACCGAGTGGTGGACGGTGGTGACCGAGATGGAAGAGAGATGGATGTGCTCCTGGTCGTGGTCAGCGCACCGGGATAGGGCATCTGCGACCCGATTAGTCTCACCCTTGATGTGCTCAGTGGTGAAACTAAACTCGGATAGGTCGCACCACCAGCGAGCCTGTCGAGGAGTGAGCTTCGGCTTTGTCAGAAAAGCCTGGACAACAGAGTTGTCCGTGCGCACCGTGAATGGTGCCCCGTGCAGGTAGTGACGCCAATGCCGAGCGGCATAAACTACTGCGAGAACCTCACGTT